TGGGGGCGTGGCGCTGCCCATAGGGGTGTGGGGCGTGTCCTGGGGGCGTGACACGCCGCCTGTGGGGGCATGGCACCCAGCGCAGGCAGCGGGACAGCCACAATGGCAGCCCACTGGGATCACACTGCGGGGGGCGATGTGCTCCCCCCCCCGTATTCCCCTTCCTCCGCCACTGGATGTAGGAAGTAGAGTTCCTCAAGGATCAGTATCGGGGTCTGTGCTTTCAACTTGTTCATAAACATTCTAGAGTTAGGTGGTCAAGTTTGCTAACAATAATAATCTAAGGTCATTAAAACAAAGAGATTTGGTCCTTAAAACAAAGGCCCTCCAAACTGAGTAAATGGATGGTAAAATGGCCAATGCAATTCAATATGAATAAGTGTAAAGTATTGGTGCAAAAAAAAAATATTCATTTCACTTAATATGCTCATGGGATCTGAACTGGCCACAACTGACCATTAGTGTGACCTTGGGGTCAGTGGATCACTCAATGAAGACTTTGCCCTGGGAGCAGCAGCTGTGAAAAAGGTGAATTCCATGCTTGGGATCAATAGGAAAGGAACTGAAAATAAAGCTGCCAATATCACCAGGCTATTAAAGAAATCTATGGTGCAACTGCACTTGGAATACTGTCTACAGTTCTGGTTGCATTACCTCAAAAGGACCCTGCAGAAGTGGATAAGGAGAAGTTCTTCTCCATCTCTCATAACACTGAGGAAGCTGATGTTGAGAGCCACAAACAAAGTCCTTCTTCCCACCTCAAGAGCACAAGCTCCAGGGCGACTCAGCCAGACAGGCTCTCTCCAGAGGTCCCATTCAGGCTCTCTTGCCTTGCATGTTTAGAACACACCAGCAGACTATGGTAAGCTTGAAACCAGGCCCAGGTGAGGGAGCCGCCATCTAGCATTTTAAAGTAACCCACCTTAGCCTGAAGGGAAGAGGAGAAAGCGAGAGCTCCCCCATGCCAGGAGGAGACCCAGGTATGTAACTGAAGCTCCGCCACTCCTAGTGGCTTCTTAACTTTTTTAATTATTGCTGTTAGTAGTCTTACTGCTGCTACTACCTTGAGACCCCACCTTTTCTTCAAGGTACTCAAGGTGTCTTGGGTGCTTCTCCATCACTCCAATGCAGAAGGTCCTGCGTTCAGACCCCAGCAGCATCTCCAGGCAGGCCTGGGACAGATTCTTATCTGAAAATCCTGGAAAACGGCTGCCTATGGCATGGATCTGAACCCAGGTCTCCCAGGCCCTAGGCTAACTCTCTGACCCCACCACCCTGGCTCTTAGCTAGCTTCACAGGAAAACTGAAAACAACCCTGCCAAGCAGTTAAGTCCAGGCACAGGCCAAGCACTTGTGGGTCAAAGGGGAAGGAGGTATGGGGGTCGAGACCCCCTCCCTGTTGCCCTGGAGAGCAGCTGGTGATTGGACCTGGCAGGGGTGGGCTAGACTGTTAGGAAGCCGCAAGGACACTTTGTGGCTGGAAAAAGGACTTGAGTAGCCACCATCTCATTGCAGCAAGTTCCACAGAACAAAGTACTGTATAAAAATCCTCACCAGCCCCTTCCTCCTTACGTTAGGGAGAGGCTGGCTGGTGGTTTTTACTTGCTCAATACATGTCACTCCATTGGAAGAGCAGCTCCTCTCTGAAACCTTCCTCAGCTTCCAGCTCCCCCCCCCTTGCTCCTGCCAGGCTCTCCAGGGGCAGCCGGGGGGTCCTCCTGCCCGATGGGGAATTGCTCTGGTCCAGCTCCTGGACAGCCAACCTAGAGTTGCCCAGGAAGCTGCTACAGGGACTTGGAGACCAAACTTCCAGCAACTGCACACACAGCTTGCAGTCACCCAAACCAGTCTTGCCTGCAGGGGGTGCCCTGTGCTCTCCCAACATCTGCCAAGGGGGCAGCCCCTGAAGCCCTTCCCCAGCAGATGAATGGCAGGCAGGGAGCATTTACATCTGTTCACCCCCTGCGAAGGGAAACCGCAGAGGCCTCAAATCAGGGCCAGTTTGGAAGAAGCAGCTGCAGAAGGAAGCCAGATGGGGCGGAGGGAGGGAGGGGTGCGCCACGCCCTAAAGGAGCAGGAAGAGGCTGACTCTCAAAAGGGGGAACACTCCACCCCCCTCTCCTGTTCCCGCCCAATTGTGGCTGCAGGGTCCTTCTCCAAAGCATGGCCTGTCCCAAGCCCTTCCTGGGAGCTCCTCCCAGGCATATACTGCCCCCCCCAATACACCTAAGGGAGAGCAAGGCATTATCTCCTTGTGCTCCTTCACAGAACTGATGCCAGCTGTTGGCAGCTGGGGGAAAGTGAGGCAGCCTGGAAGAGGAGTCCCTTAGGGCCACTCAGAGGCTGGGGGCTGGGGAACTTTTGCAGGGAGAAGAGGGGTTTGCCTGGTGCAGGGGGGGGCCTGGGTCCATGCAGACTATCTCCCTCGACTCAGGAGCCCCTCCTGAACACAACAGAGAGGCACTCAGGGCTCCATCCTGTGCCAAGAGGATGCCTGTGGCACCTGGGTTCTGGGCGAGAAGACCTGGCATAGGATGTTCTGCCTTGCAGCTCAAGGAGGCGGCTGCACTTCCTGTCCTCCTCCGCTGCCTCCTTCCCAGAGACCTGCCTCTCAGTCAAGCGGCTCCAGGCGCAACCTTCCCCCCTCCCCTCTTTCCCCCCACCCAAATGCCACAGGACTGCCGCTCTGCCCTACCTTGCCCCTGCTGGATCAGGTCTTCCATAAAGTAGCGGCCATCCTCCCAGTCCAAGGCTGGAGCTGCCATCCTGCTGCTGCTCCTCGGAGAGTGCAGAGCGCACCTTCCCTTCCCGCCAGATCCTGCCTCCCCGCCCCAGCCAGAACAAGCCCGTGCAGAGCCCCGCAGCCGCCGCTGCCGCGGAAGCCCCTCTTTGCCCGCCCCAGTAGCAGCAGCCACACCCCACAGGCCTCGCCTGCCCGCTCCCTCCAGCTCCCCAAATGCGCTCCAGCTGCCCTCCGGGAGCCGCCAGGATTCCTGCGGGGGAGCCTTTGGTCCGAGGCTTTGCCTGGGAAAGGGAACTCAAGAGGCAGATGTTGGGACGAGGAGGGGGCGAGGGGGGGCACGCAGACTCCTGCAGGAACTGGTGGCCAAAAGAAGCTGGCAGGACTCTGCTCTGGGGAGGGGGTCTTGTGCGCAGTCCCATTCGGCCCTCCTTCTCCCTCCCACTGCACAGTCTCGCCCCTTCTTTGCACCGGGGAAAAGCAGCCACAGGAGGTGCCCCCCCCAGGCCTGTGCTGCAGAAGAGACTCCCGCTTCCTTGATTTTGACTCCCCCAGGCAAAGGGGGCAGGCAGGGGGCGGGCTTATTGAAGCAAGTTCTCTAGCAACGGCAGACATCCACCTGGGGGTCCCCACTACAGCGCCACGAAAATAGCTGCTTGGGGCGGCAGCGGGGGGGGGAATGTTCGGGCCTCCCTCTCTCCCAGGACCAAAGCAACCAAACTCTCCCGGGAGGGCCAGAGGAGGGGGGAGGAGGAGCCGCCGCCGGTGACTCACGCTGCTGGAATACAAGGCGGGTGCGCGACGCATTTCCTTCCGCGCGCAACGGAAAGTTGGAGCCCCCACATGACCGGCGGGGGGCGGCTGAGGCCCGGCCCCTCCGCCTCCTCGCAGCGGCAAAGGCAGGGCCGACACGTTGCAGCCCTGCCCGGCAAGCGAGCGGCCAGCTGGGGTGGGGAGGGTCGCCAGCAGGAGAGCGCCCTGCGCGCCTGGTGCAGGGCTGTTGCGGGCATCAAGGGGGGGCGTATTATTGCAGAAACGCTTTTCCTTCCCGTACACTCCTCACGAGGAGCGCCCTCCAGAAACCTCCCCCCCCCCAAGCTGAAACCAGCAGCCCGGAGGCCCAGGAGATGGGCGAGGCAGCCCCACAGGCTGCGCGTGGAGGGCGGGATGCCGCGGAGCCAGGTCTCACCCACGCCCTGGGCACAAATGGGCACCCCCCACCCCATCACGTGCAGAGACCCCCCCCATCCAACCTGCTCTATCCAGCGCAGGGGCCGCGGGCAGAAGCAGCCAGGCCGGTCCAGGCGAGCGCACCTGCTGCCCCCTTGCTCCTGCCCCCTTGCCCCCGCATCCCAACCGCTAAGATACCTTCGTCCGACTTGCCCCCTTTCCTCCGGCGCCCCCTGCGCCGCTTCTTGCGGGGCTCTTCCCCCGCAGGAGGGTCCATGGGCAGCCCAGGGGCCTCGCTCTGACCTTGGCAGGCAGAAAGACGAGGCGCCGCCACCGGGAGCGGCCGCGAAGAAACGGCTAAGGATAGCCCGGCGCAGCAGCTGCTGCCCACCTGTCAGCACGGCGGCGGCGGCGCCCCCTCCCTCAGGCACGCCGGATCTCTGGACTTACCCCCCACCCGACACGCGCACAGGGCAGGGGGCCTCCTGCCCACAGCTCACACCCACGTGGCACACATGCCGGCGGCAAAAGGGCGCCCCAGAAACCGCGGACTCCCCAACTTCCAGCTGAGCCCGGGGCAAAGGCCTCCCCTTCGCCGCTGCCGCCTTCCACCCCCCCACCCCCTTCCTTCTAGCTCATCCCAGGCACGTGGAAGCGCGGGAGGGGGTCGCGTTACTGGGCCAGCATCAATGAATGGATGGAAGAATGAATGGAGAAGCCCGCCCTGATGCAACCTCTGACCCCAGATTTTGCAGGGGATGTGGGGCAAGTGATCTGGGCACCCCCCCCAAGTTTTCCACCTCCTGAGCCCACAATCACGGAACAACACAAGCAGCACCAAGGATCAAGAAGGCACCCAAGGGTGCTAGCTAAAAGGTAGGACGGGAAACAGCCCTGAGCTTTTGGCCCCAAACTGCATCTGCCCCCCCACCTCCCAGACATCAAGCCCAATTCCTGACACACCCACCTTCCCCCACCTGGCTAGGGAACTCACCCACCACCTCTGCCCTTACCCAGCTGCAGCTCACTTTCCCCAAACCAGCTCCTGCCCCATAGCTCCCAGGCTTCCCCCACGTGGAGGGCATCTGACCTTCAGCAGGAGGGGCAGCAGAGGCCACCTGTGGCACTGCCCTGGCGGCAACCAGCTCCACGTGCCCAGCAGGCTCCTCCTTCCGGCGGTACTCCTGGCGTGAGGCCTCCTGGGGCTTCGGGGGGCAGGCCAGTGGGCCTGGCACGGTCTGGGTGCGAGGCGGGCGCGGGCGCGGGCGCGGGGTGGGCCTTGCCATGGCCACGGGGCGGCGGACGCGCTGCAAGGTGGCAGGCACAATCTCTGGCGGCAGGCGCAGGTACTGGCGCAGGTGCGCAATGCCCTCGTCCGTCAGGTACCAGTAGCAGTGGCGCCAGGCAAAGCTCTCACGCACCAGGCCACGGGCGTGTAGGGAGCCCATGGCCCGCTGGACTTGCAGGTGGGTGATGCCCGGCAGCTGGGGGTGGTAGCTGTGAGGGCGCCGGTCCTTCTGGGCCACCATGACCCCATCGCGAAAGAGCAACTCGTAGATGGAGCGCAGCTGCTCCAAGGGCATCAGCATGCCAGCCACCATGGTGAAGGCGGCAGCAGAGGAGGCGGCCTAGCCTGGCTCTCCAAAGGGGCAGAAAAGTCTCTGTCTGGCCGGCTGGCTGCCTTCAACAGGAAGCAAGGAGGAAAGGATCCGACCGACCGCCCTCCCCAGGAACCTCAGCCTGGCAAGCTCACAGAAGGCAGCTGAAGCTCCCTCCGAACTCCTCCTCCCCCAGCAGCTGAGAGCGGGAGGGGCAAGAGCACATGCCGGCTACTACCACCTCAACTTCTGCGCCTGCCTTGGAGCTCCCCCACCCACTGGGGGTGGGCACTGCCAGGCCTGACTCAGCAGGGGAGGGAGGGGAGCCGGGCTGGCCAGCCCACAGACTCGTCATCCTCTGAGCGCAAGCAGGAGCCGCCACTGCTGTCATCAAAGTTTCCTTCAAGTTGGCAGCAGAGGGGTGGGGTGGGGGCGCCTTCCCTGCCCACAGAGCTCCCACCCGCCAAGCGGAGAAACCACTCCAACCAGGCGGGGTGGGGGAGGCCAGCCTGGGAAGAGAGGAGGGCAGCTGCGGTGGCAGAAGTGGGGGAGAACAGCTGGGACGCCTTCTGCCCCTTGGTGGATGCCTCCTGACTGAGGGAGGGAGGCAGGGTGCCCAGAGAAAGCCCAGCCCAGCAGGGTTAACCCTTGGCACCCCATCACACACAGGGCACCTAAGTAGGCAGAAGAGATCCCTCCCAGCATGCTCCCCAATTCCCAGGAGTGAAAACTGAGGCACAGGAAAGCTCAACCAATGGGGGAGGGGGAGAAGAGAGAGTTATTTATTTGCTGGCTTGCTTGTTGTATAAAAGATATGCACTGTTTGATCGTTTTTCAAAAAAACCTCAAAGTGGTTTATGAATAGAATGACGCGATCAAGTAACAATTCCTAAAACATTCAAAAGAGAGAGAAAACAGATTGAAAACATACACCCACATCCTACATATCTGGGGACGCTTTCCGAAGCAAGAATGGTTTTAGCAGGCCCCAAAAAGATTACAGTAAAGGTGCCAGTCTGATGTCAATAGGCAGGGAGTTCCAAAGTGTAGGTGATGTCAGTTTCTTACACATATGGAATTGGCATCACCTGCAGCAGTGCCAGTTCTTCTGAGTCAAGTGATCAAGTGGGCATATATGGGGTTAAGGTGATATTACAGGTACATTGGTCCCAAGTAGTTAGTAACACTTTGAACCTGGTCAGGTGGGAATCACCTATAATATTACAGGGCTCCTCACTAGAGCTGGGCAGAAAGGCTTTGCCCCTCCTTGCCCCTCAGCTGCCCACTCTCCTCACTCCCCCGGGGCTATTTCTGGTACAAGACATGGATGCTATTTCTATGACTGAATGAGGCTTGCAATGCCCGCCCCCAGGCCTCCAATTATAGCCTCAGGCCCAGGCTGTATCAAGCCCTCCCCAACACACACACACACACTAACAGCACCCCCTCCCCAATTCAAAGCCTGCCTGGCTCCTTCTGTTCCTATGAGCCACCTCAGCAGCCAACTCCCTCTCCTTGCGCAGAGGAGAGGGACCAAGATGGTCAAGGGGCTGGAAACCAAACCTGATGAGGAATGGTTGAAGGAGCCGGATCTTTTTAGCCTGAAGAGGCGACTGAGAGGCGACATGAGAGCCATCTTCAAATATCTCAAGGTCTGCCACAGGGAAAAGGGAACATGCTTGTTTTCTCCTGCTCTGGAGGGTAGGACTTGAACCCATGGCTTCAAGTTACAAGAAAGGAGATTCCGACTAAACATCAGGAAGAACTTTCTGACAGTAAGAGCTGTTCATCACCGCTCTCCCTCCAGATGTTGGGGATTATTTTTCCTTTTTAAGCAGAGGTTGGACGACCATCTGTCATAGATGCTTTAGCTGAGATTCCTGCATTTCAGGGGGTTGGACTAGATGACTCTGGGGGTCTAAGTTCTAAGATTTCTCCGCAGGGGGGCCAGAGGATCTGCCCCTAGATAGCCTCCCCACAAGCTCAGAGTGATAAGTGCAGGTGGCAGAGCTCCTGTCGCCCTCCCCCTTTCTCCACTTTCCCAATGACTCCAGGAATAAACCTTAGAGCCATCTGCCCTTCAAGGATTAACCTGGGAACAAAGCCCCCCACCCAAAAACAGGACCTGCCCCCCAGCAAGTGAGCTTTACTTGGAACTGTGTGGAAAATGAAAGGCAGCCCAGCTCTGTTTCAGGAGGGAAGCTGAGCTGGATTTGCCCAGGGCCACAAATGGCGTCCAGGGCAGAGGCGAGGCCACACCTTAGCTCTCATCTCCATCAACACAGAGACACAGGCGCACACATCCTTCTCAACGCCAACCCCCCAAGACACATTCCCAGCCCATCCCTCCAGCCAGTTGGCACCCATTCTCCCCCCCCCCCCAGCACTGGGTGAGGAGGGCATGACAGCAGGAAAAGCCAGCTCCTTTCCCAGGCTCTCCTGCCCTGCCCCCCCCCAACCAGGGCAGGTTCCTGAGCTACCAGCCAAGGTCAATATTTGTCCAGGATTTGCCTCTGGCTGCTGCTTCCCCCAAGACCCAGGGAGCCCCACCCAAGGCATGCAAAGCAGACACTGACTGCCCTCTGGTGATGAGAGAGGACCTGCTGCAGACATCCTTGCCCTCATCAGGGGACGAGGGAAAGCACTCTGCATATGCTCAGGGGGCACAACCATGTTTTCACCGCAAACGCTGCAGCGCTGTCTTCTGGCTCTGGGGCAGAGTCCTGCAGCTCTCTTGCCTTTTGGCCCCGGGGGCTTGAGACAGGGCACAGGGTGGGGGGGGCAGGGTGTAAAGAGAGAAACAACCCAGATCTGGTCTGTAAGGAGCCTCCCTCTTCCTGCTTCTCAGCAGCTGTGGAGAAGGAGGGTCAGAAGCCTGACTGGGTAAAGGTCAAGGGACCCCTGACCATTAGGTCCAGTCATGACCGACTCTGGGGTTGTGGCGCTCATCTCGCTTTATTGGCTGAGGGAGCCGGCGTACAGCTTCCAGGTCATGTGGCCAGCATGACTAAGCCGCTTCTGGCGAACCAGAGCAGCGCACGGAAACGCCGTTTACCTTCCCGCCAGAGCGGTACCTATTTATCTACTTGCACCTTGACGTGCTTTCGAACTGCTAGGTTGGCAGGAGCAGGGACCGAGGAACGGGAGCTCACCCCGTCGCAGGGATTCGAACTGCCGACCTTCTGATCGGCAAGTCCTAGGCTCTGTGGTTTAACCCACAGCGCCACCCGCCTCCTTCGCCTGACTGGGTGGAGGGCTGCAAAACTCCCTTGGATAAGGAGTGCTGCTCATCCCCCTCCCCCCCACACACCCCAGAGTTTACCTGCCCCCCAGCAGGAGATGCCTGTTATTCGGGTCCACACCTGCACCCAGAGCGCCCCCCTATACTGCAAATGGGTACCCCAGAGAAACAGGCAAGGGGCAGCTAGGCCTCAACAAGAGCAGTGCCAGTGCCCTCCAGGAGGGGGCGCCAGCAGCTCAGCCTGGGCAGACAAAGAGCCTCCTGCCATCGCCCCCCCCCCTTTGGCCTCTGGCCCAGAAGCAGCAGGAAACAGGCTGCATTGTTCCAAGGAGCTAATCATTAGCCAGAAGCGTCTTGGGGGGCCAGCCAGGAGCGCCTGAGAAAGGGGGGCAGAAAGCCAGAGAACCTGGGAAGAATCCGCCAAAGTCCAAGGGGCCAGGGAGGGGGGCACCAAGGAAGCAGAAGACGACACCGGGGGGGGGGGGGAGGCGCCTTGGACATTCTGGACGCCAAGGCCTGCTTCCAACTCTGCCCCACCTGAGCCACACATGCAGAGACTCAGACCCAGAGGGAGGGGCCACACCAGTGTTAACGGAGAAATCTGGGGGCTCCTTTGGACAAAAAAACAAGGACACCAGCCAGGAATCCCAGAGCAAAACAGCAGCCAGTCGGCTTGGTCTTTATTGAAGACTGTCGCCACAGAACTCCCACCTGCCACCAGGTGGAACAAGATGGAAGCCCAGAACAAAAGAGAACCCAAACTTTTATTAGCTGCTAATCCCCATGTTACACCCCCTAAACCAGTGTTTCCCAACCGGTGTTCCGCGGCACACGAGTGTGCCGTGAGACGTTGCCTCGTGTGCCGCGAGATGCCTGGAGGGAGGCGGGCGAGTCGGGCGGCGAGAGGCGGGGCGGCGGCGGCGAGGAGAGGCCGCGCCTCCTGCTGCTGCCTGGCGCTCCTCCTCGCAGCCGGCAGCGCTGCCTGGGCGCCTCCTCGCTGGGTTTGGTCTCCCAGCAGAGACGGGTCACACGCGCCCCTCCCTCCCTCCCTCAGCCTGCGCGGAGGGAGAGCCAGAGAGAGGCATCGCTCCTGCGCGGCGGGAGAGGGAGCTTGGCGCGTCCGCGGTTTTTATAGGGCGCCCGGCGCGCACCAGCTCGATAACGGGCACCGGCGCGGCGGGGGGCGCCGGGCCGGGGGAGGGGGGCGGCCGGCCTGTCTCCTTGGCAACCCCATTGAGCAGCGCCGGCTCCCCCGGGAGGGCCATCCCCCCGCGCCGCCGATCGCCAACACCGCCGACGCTGTGGCTGCCCGAGCCCGAGCCTGAGCCCGAGCCCGACCCGGAGCCCGAGCCCGAGCCTGAGCCCGAGCCTGAGCCCGAGCCCAAGCCCGTCAGTCAGTCAGTCAGGAAGGAAGGAGAAATGGGGAGGGAGACGAGGGAGGAAAATTGCGCGCAGGGTGAAGAAAGGAGAAGGGCGAACGAGACGAGCTTCCAACCCAAAAAAGGGCTGGAAGACTGGGAGGATGCAGGATCGGGAAAGAAAGTGACGCCTTCCCCGCCCGCGACGTCGCCTGCTTGTCATTGGCAGCGCAGCGGGCGCCCAGAGGGGCTGGGCACCGGCGCAGGGCCGCTCCGCAGCCGCGGAGGACAGCTGCGCGGCTAGCAAGGTGCGCCGCGTAGAGCGCGGCCCTTGTGTGGCCCGGTGGCCAGGCAAGCTCGGGCGGGGACCCCCATGCGAATCTAAGACGGGAGAAGAGGGCAGAGCAAAGGGGGTCCCT